AACAATGCTAGTGCTAGTCAAGTCAAGTCAAAGCCTTTATTTTTCTTCGAAATGCTTGTTCGGCGCAAGGCCGCTTTTCAACAAGGTCGAAGTTGAGGGGAGGGGTCACGGATAAGAACCAAATCCATACAAACATAAATAATAAGTAATTAAATCAATACAATAAGTAAATGAATAAGTTCACAAATAAATCATTAGGTTCGTAGCCAATTCAAGTCCATGGTGAGTCCCAGTTATGTCTGTTCCATAAGTGACTTGAAGGTATGGATGGATGGTGCTGCCCTAATGTGGGGCTGGATGTTATTCCATACCACTGAGCCGGAGTAAGCCAAGCTTCTTCTGTAAGCTTCCAAGTGCGGCCTCGGAGGGATGAGACAGTCAGTAGAAGCTGATCTGGTATTCCGTGCCACTTCATCCCTTCTCAGGCTGAAGGCTCGTCTCATGTATGGTGGTAGTGCATTTCTCAAGGCCTTGTACACCAGCAGAGCTTTTTGCTGTTGATGTATAGTCTTCACAGTCTTCCAACCAAGGCGCGATAGGATTTCTACTGATGGTGTTCTATATGGAGCTTTCAGAATAAGTTTTCCCACCCGGTTTTGGATACTTTGCAGCTTGTCGTACTGCACCAAAATCGCTCCATCCCATACTGTGCATGCATAAGTTAAGTGTGGTAGGAAAATTGAATTATATAAAGTGACAAGAGCAGCCTGATTTACGAATGGTTGGACCTGGCGCATTACTGCAAGTGTTCGTTTCAATTTTGATAAGACATGATCAATGTGATAGTTCCATTTCAATTCACTGTCCACAATGTATGCGTATGCATGTAATACTATGTACATGTACAAGCTTTATTGCTGTCACCTGTGCTTAGCCCAGTGTATGCACAATATAAAGGTCATTCTTCATTGATGTAAAACACACCGGTGTTTTTCCGTATCCACCTGGACAGATCCACCATGGGTATGACATTTTGAAAACCGAGATGTCTGCCGACATTGCCGTTCCTTTTCTCGGCCTCCCACACGTAAATGCTTCCCCCTCCCCACTGCATGTCTGCGCCGGCCACCTTGCCTTTGTCTGGTCTCCAGGCTGTCTCGGCGTACGCTGTGATGTTTCCTGTTAAGAAAAAAAATGATAGTAATAGTGCCTGAAAATAGCTTCATCAGGTTGGTAGAATATTAATTCCCAAGCAGATCATACGGTGGCAAGACTATCCATTGGCCAGAGGAGTGTCCTTTAAGCCTAGGTCACAATTTAAAAAATGGGCCCGCTCGACACTACCGAACGGGACCTGGACGGACCTGGCGGGGTTCCCGACGGCTGCCGGCGTATGTTTGCCCGGTTCAAACTTAAAATTACCCCGGGCCCCGGCGGGAAAGATACACCATAACAAAGCCGTAACCTCACCGGACCAAGCCGTAACCCGAGAGGCGCCCGCACAGACACCTGTCTGTATCTGTATAGCCGGTATAACAGCCTTTCGGCGTACGCGTAATACACCAGCTTCGCTGCCCAAGATTATGACGTCACCTGTGCTGACCTGTGCTTTAAATGTTCAGAAGAAGGTGGTTTTAGAGGGTATTTATCAGGAAGGACTTAAAGTCGCAGTGGTGCTCTCGACATAGCTCCATCATCAGTGAGTCGCGGTGACCATACACGGGTCTGCGCATCAACCAGGGGCAAACCCGCCATACCAGCCAGGAGCGTATAGCCTGGGACCTGCCAGGATCACCCCTGGACCCCGCCAGGGACCCTGTAGCTGCACGGCCGAAATGTAAGAGTCGGTCGAGACGGGTGACTGATCAGGCATCAGACGGCTACCTAACAGAAACCGGCCGTCAAAGGGACTAAAGGCCTGTGAATTTTAAATAGAACCTGCCTGTGACCCTGACAGCGCACGCTCGGCTTCATGACGCCCTCCGGCGTCTACACCAAGAACATGCCGAGCAGGCCCCGTTTCAAATGTGATTCCAGCTAGAGCCATAGAACATACGAATTTAAGAGCAGTTGTCTGTAAAAACCAAGCATAAGGTGGCCAAACTCAAAAAATCAAATTCTCTTAAATTTTGTGTGGTGGTAGGGACTTGGTCCAAACTTACAAAAATGGGTAAGTTTTGGTTCGCTGGTTGATGGTTGCCATGGCAACAGCCATTTTTCAAAATGGCGGATTTTTACCTTGTGGAGGCATAAGTCTTGCCCAAAATGGACCATCTTTTACCTTCCGTATCTCAGAGAAAGTAACACATATCTCATTGCGTGTAACATATTTTATGATCCATATTGTAACTAAGAAAATGATATGAAGTTTTGCTCGAAATGTTTTTGTGGTGAGCTGTAGCAGACGTTTAAAAATGGCGTGTTTTTGTAAAATTTCAAAATTGAGAAAAAGCCATTTTTAGGACGTTTTTAGTGAACCATGGCCGCTTAAAAGGCAAGTAGAATTAGTTGATTTTTGGCACAGTTATGGCTATAACCTTTGTCTACAACATATCAGAAAACATTTTTGGGGTCTCCATGGGGGGGAGTACAGTGACCCCTAGACTAAACCATTATTCCATTGTGAAAGAGTCCCAACCGCTGCATTATAAGTGAAAAAAGCATCCACAGCATGGCTATACAGTAAAGAAAACGAAATCTAAAGCTTTTTCAAGTGCTAAGGAAACCTACCTCGCACTTACAAAAGTTGTTTCCTTCTGGGCTGACAACGGGTTACCATGGCAACAGTTATATGGGGAGGGGGGCGGTGTTTTGAGGCCCACGGCCACTTTCTTGTTGTATAATGTCTGAAAAGTTTAAACTAGAACCACCAAACTTGGTGATTTTTCCTCAAATAAATTTTGCAATGATTTGATATTCATACTTTCATGTTGCCATGGTCATGTTGCCATGGCAACTGGTTGCTGACAGTCATTTTTGCCAAATTCAGTAATATCACTATAGCAATGAAATTTCTATTTTTTTTGTTTTAAAATTTTCCCCCTTATCAAACATCCATGACATTCCTGTAAGTCACCTCTTACTACAAGGCATGCGCACAGTTCAACCTACCAACACTCAAGTCACGCCGTGACAAACTGACAATGAACTTCGCTAGATCACTTGAACGATCTAAGCTGCATAGACACTTATTGCCACCTCCAAGAGTTGAAATCAGTGGTGGGACGACCCGCTCATCCCTTAAACTGGACACTGTCTTCTGTAGAACTGAAAGATACCGAACAAGTGCAATCCCTTACATGATACGGATGCTGAATTTGTAGCTGCTCTTTACTTCGTTGCCCTACTTATAACTTAATGCTGCCATCTATTTGTATGTACGTGTACTCAAATGTTATTTAATATTCCCAGAAATTTTATTCAAATGTACATACTAGAATCTACTCGTTGCGCCACACCTAATCATTTTATCCCGATATGCTTTTAACTTAAATGTTCAATGTTTTAACCAACCACTTGTTATCAATTGTTTTTATTCAATGCGCTACCTACATACTCGATTTTAAATATTATACGTTAGACTGTTATTTGCGTAAATCTATTAATCAATTGTAAATGTATCACATAATTCAGCCATTGGCTGCGAGGTGTTACTTGAATTTAAAAAAAACATTATATATAAGTTTATGTAAATTCTTTGTTTACACATGTATGATTTATGTTAATAAGAGACGTCATAGGACAAGATAGTGGACCATCAGTAACTCGGATATTACGTTTTTTTTCTCTTAAAACGATAAAACTCTCAAAACTTTTTTAAAGCAGAGAAAACGAAAACTAAAGCTGTCTGCAAGTGAAGTAAACCCACCTTGCACTAACAAAAGTCATTCCGTCTGGACTGACAACGGGTTACCATGGTAACAGTTATATGGGAGGGGGGCGGTGTTTCAATGCCCGAGGCCACTTTCTTATTGTATAATGTCTAGCAATTTTCAGCTAGAACCAACAAACCTGGTGACTTTTCCTTAAATAACTTGGGCAATAATTTCATTTTAAAGATGAAAATCAATATTTTTATGTTGCCAAGGCAACGGGTTGCTGACAAACATATTTTACAAAATTCCGTAATTTCATGCAGTTTAAGAAATGAAATTTCCTATTTTTTTCTAGTAAAATTGCACCTCTTATTTGGAATTTATGGCATATGTAATTTCATATAATTTCTATCATTAAACGAATTTTTCTTTCATTTTGATGCTGCATGA